CTGAGGTAGAAAAGAGCTTCTGGCTGCATGCGTCTCTGACCTCCTCCAAGTCATCCTCTGCCTCTTGGTCCCCCTCCACATCCTCGTTCAAGATTTCCTTCTCCTGGCTCTCGAGCCGCCGAAGTATTCACAGTGGCCTTCGCAGTGGAGGTGGGGTCGCCACCGAGTATTGCGTCCAGCTCTGTGTAGAACTGGCAGTTCGTGGGTGCAGCACCAGAGCAGCGGTTTGCCTCCTGCGCTTTGTGGTAGGCGTTCTGCAGCTCCTTCACTTTGACCCTGCACTGCAGTGTGTCCCATTCATGGCCCCTTTCAGTCATGCATCGTGAAATCTGTCCATAGGTATCATAACTCCTATGGCTTGAGCGCAGGTGGGACTGGACAGTCTCCTCTCCCCAAGTGCTGATGAGATCCAGCAGCTCAGCATTGCTCCAAGCGAGGGATCGCCTGATGCGTGGAGCAGACATGGCCACATGGAAAGATGTGCTGAGACCACTGCACGCGTCACCGAGCAAACAGGAAGGGCACTTTCAAAATTCCAAAGGAATTTACGGAGTGGGGATGACGGTTAGTCACTTGAGGGCAGGACAGTAGAGTTCAAACCAATCACCAGAGAGGCAAGAACACGCATTGTGGATACACCTCCCAGAGGCCAATCACAGCGCTGTAATCGACCAGGGTGTCTACACTGGCACTCTCGTTGGGGTGTGTTTTTTTACAGCGCTGCAACTGCGCAGTTTCTGCGCGCTAAATGACTTGGCAGTGTGTACACCTCGGGAGTTACAACGCAGAAAGCAGCTTTACTGCGCAGAAACTTGCCAGTGTAGACAGGGCCTAACACTTTGGTCTAGGCCAGGGAATAAAAGCTCTGTAAATAGACTGTATTCTAATCAAGTGTTATGCAACAAGGAACAAAGGTTGCACTGAAGTGCGTTATGTTCTTGATAAGCAGTCTTTTGCCAACCTACGTATTTTGAATGTTATCAAATGTTGAATATAGTGACTATTATGCCAAAGATGGGACAGTGATAATTTTTTTTTCTAAGTGCTGAACTTGATTTATAACTGCCTATGTGCTGACGAGAAATTAAAAAAAAAAAAAGGCAGTGTTGTACCCTGAGGCTCCCATCATGCCAAGTTAAAACACTTTGAAAACCCCCTTAATATCTGTGAAGATGCAGCTCAACACCTCTTTTTTATTTTGTGAGCCTGAAAAGATATGAAGTTATCTTCACAGGTGTTAAGGGGGCTGTCCTGTCACATTAAGCTAACTTGACTGAAAACTTAAAAACCCACCCTACCCTGACAAACAACCAAACCATTTCTTCCCATGTAGGTAAGGCCAAATGTGCTCATATGCTAAGGCCTTCTCTACACTGGGTTTTCTCTGTGTATTTTTTTTTTTTTAATAGTCACTGATATACCCGTATTGGTGCAAACTGTGACTTGCATTTCTTTGAAACTGGTGTAAGCTGCTGTGGTGCAAGTCATGGTTTACATTACTACAGCCATAGTGTTGGCTAAAATGTGTAGTGTAGACAAGTCACGAGAAAGGGAGAGAAGGAGAAGATGGCAGAAATAGAGAAAATTATCAAATCTAAAAATGGACCTATTCCAAGATTTTCCTGTATAACTAGGCTGTCAGCCAATCTGTAGATTTGATTGGCTACCAGTTACTTTAATATGTCTGAATTTTTCGATAAACAATGCTTTATTTGCACGACTACCTCTTTCACTGATATCTACTGTAGTTATTTCTCAAAAGCAAGGAAAATGATTTCTTGTGAGAGCCAGAAGGATTAAGGAGAAGGAACCTGATTTGTGTTTCTTGCTCAAAGGTGAGTGCCAGAAAGGTGCACATTCCTGGAAGGTGCTGCGAAGGTGTTGCTTGTAATTAGCAAGAGGCACGGGAAATGCCTGATTATGTCAAGGAATGACAGGAATAAGAGTTCAGTCATTATAGCAGGCATAGAAAAAGAGTTGAAAATAAACATACATACAGTTTGGCATCATGTATTTATCAAAATTGAGATAGTAGACTGTACTACTCTGTCTTTATGATTATGGTGATGTGTCTTACAGCTGGCACAAATTATTTTCTTCAATTACTTCTGAAATTACTGAAAATAACAGCACAGTTCAAGAGACGTCTCCTTGTAGGTAAAACATTTAATGGTGAATTTGAATTTTTTCATAACTAAATTAGAATTCACCTAGTACTCTTGGTCCATAGAACTCAAGAAATTTAAGAAGGTGGGAGTATTCCCATTTTATATAGGGAAACTGAGAGACAATGAGTTAAGTGAGTTGTCCAGGATTATACAACAAGTCACAGGCAGAGCAGGAAAGAGAGCTCAGGTATCCTGCCTCATGTTGGTGTGTAACCATTGGATCATCCTGCTTAGCACCTTTAGGCCTGGGGTCAGTGATGGGTGAGTGAGTAGGGGAAACTTTTTTGTGTGCTGTATGACTAAAGTCTGTCTCCATTTGCAACCTGCTGATGTTGGTAGAAAATGGCTGACTCATGTCTCCTTTTGTCCTGTTCTAAAACTATATGAACAGCTTTCTTCTGGACACTCACCTACACAATTTATTGATCAATGTTCTTGCGCTAACACAGTAGTGAGCACTAGAAGAAAGGAGGCTAATTACTTTGGTGTCAGTCTGATCAATTTGTTTTGATTCCTTCACCTGGGTGTTCTGCAGTTATGATACCTATTGTTTTTTTTTTTTTTTTACCCAAGTACACACATGTATGAGCCTATTGAAGTATACTTGCTGATAAATATAGGTATGTCTACATTGCAGTTAGATACCCGTGGCTGGCCTGTGCCAGCTGACTCAGGCTCCCAGGCTGCGGAACCCTGTGTAGACTTTTGGGCTTGGGCTGGAGCCCAGGCTTTAAGACCCTGTGAGGTGGGAGGGTCCCAGAGCTCGGTCTGAGCCCAGAAGTCTACACTGCAATGAAACAGCCCTGTAGCCCGAGCAAGCCCCGCGAGTCTGAAGCAGTTGTCACGGGCCAGACATGGTTTTTTAATGCTAGTGAAGTGATGTGAGCTGTGGTGCAGAGTAAAATTCTTTCCTCATATCTGCATGATGCCTCTTAGTCTGTTTTCTCATAAAGTTGTGCTATTCCTACTGATTGAGTGTGTAGATCAGAAAGGACAACTTTGCCTTTAATCTTCTAGAATTTCATTTAGGGGGAAGGTTCTCTCAACTTACTGTCACTTTAGTGAATCAATATTTTTAAAGATCAAATAGATATCAGTCTTTTGGGAAGACAATTAGTCACTATTAATCTTACATAATCAAAAAATTAGTGTTTCAGATTTATCTTGGCATTTAGGTAGCATCAAGAGACAATTATCTTGTGACAACATTGTGACGTTCTCCTGGTATTATCTGAACCAGTGATCTTCTAGGTCACTCCAATCCTTGACTCTGGGAGCCAGCCCTACCCTGCTTTGCTGTGAGAACCTTCACTCCTGGGCTGTTCATGCTCAACTTCTAGCATGTAAGCTTCTCCCAGAATGTGAGTGAGCACTTTTGGCTAGCCACTGCTTTGATAGTGCAACTGAATGACACTAGCCAATATCTCCGGTCCCAGACACAACCCTAGGAACCTCCAACTTGCAGTGTCCAGTTATGCCCACTGGACGTTGCAAGTTTATATGAGTTTGTCAGTTTAACAAAGAAATTGATCTGTACCAGGCTTGTTATCCCAAGGGGAGTCTTTGACACGCTTCAAACCAAACACACTGCTTCAGGTAGAATAAACAAACAGATTTATTAACTATAAAAGATAGATTTTAAGTGATTATAAGTCAAAGCACAACAAGTGAGATTTGGTCAAATGAAATAAAAGCAAAACATATTCTAAGCTGATCTTAACACTTTCAGTGCCCTTACAAACATTTTCACCACAGGCTGGCTGGTTGCCCTTCAGCCAGGCTCTCCCCTTTGATCAGCGCTTCAGTCACTTGGTGGTGGTGTCTGTAGATGGAGGTGGCAGAGGAGAGCGAGCATGGCAAAGTCTCTCCCCTTTATCATGTCCTTTCTTTCCTCTTGGCTTTGCCCCCGGCACCCTTCCCCTCTCCCTTCAGGGTCAAGTGAGCATTACTTCATCCTAGTCCCAAACTGACCAAGGGAAGGGGGGTGACTCACTCCAGAGTCCAACAGGTCCTTTGTTGCTGCCTACGCCAGTGTCTTTGTTTCTGTGAGGTTGGGCTGGGTTTGTCCCATTCATGCCCTGATGAGGTGTAAACTGCCCCTTTGTTCCTGCAGAGTTTTGCCTGGGCTTGTTTTAAACCACGAGGACACATTTTCAGCCTCATAACTATATACATGAAATTACAACCTCGAACGTTACTATAACATTACTACAATAACAATGCTCAGTGCATCATGAGCCTTCCGAAGACACCCGACATGACAAACTTTGCATTGGATACCACACAATCGTATTATAAGGATGAACATGGGAGTGCAGGGTGTTCCCCTGAGATACAGAGTGTCCCAAACATTTTATTCTAATGACAACTTTTAAAGTTGTACCTAATAATATACTATAAAGGAGAAAAAATGTATATTCAATTTCCTACTTTGTAGATCATTTAAAATGTGCTCACTTGCTTCTAGTTGTATATTGACAGGTTTTGCCATCTTCACAGCTGACAGATTAGCCCCCTGAAAACTATGATGTTGAGATGAAATATCCGTAAATAAAAGCAATATTAGGAGGACTGCCAAAAATTGAAGGGGCTGTTGTTGTTAAGATGGAAGTTAGGAGAGAGAGTGACATTATAAAGGGAAAGCCTCCTCATAAGTGTGTTGTAGTATTGGCTGATTTAGAAGACAACTTTCTGTAGAACTACAACGGCATTAAAAGTGCTGATCATAAGACGGGCTTTGACACTATAATGGTATTGGTATATGAAAACATACTGCTGAAGTTGATGCACATTGTAATCGGTTTTGTTTTTGTTTTTTCTCTGCATATGTAGGCATTTCAGTAGGACTATGGAGGAACTAGTTCATGATCTGGTCTCAGCACTGGAAGAAAGTTCAGAGCAAGCCAGAGGAGGTTTTGCTGATACTGGAGATCACTCTCGCAGCGTGTCTTGTCTTCTAAAACGCCAGGCAAGGAAAAGGAGAGGACGAAAAAGACGTTCATTTACCACTCATCATCCTTGGGAGACTAGTCACTGTTTAAGTGAAGGTTCTGATTCCAGTCTAGAAGAACCAAGCAAGGACTATAGAGAGAATCATACTACTAGTAAGAAAGACCACAGTGACTCTGATGATCAGCTGTTGGTTGCTAAACGCAGGCCTTCTTCAAATTTAAATAACATTAGAGGCAAAAGACCTCTGTGGCATGAGTCTGATTTGGCTCTTGACAATTTAGGAAACAGGACCCTGCGTAGGAGGAGAAAGGTGAAACGCATGGCAATAGATCCACCGTCAGAAGTCACGAATACACTAACTTTGACCCAGCAACAGGATAACAGCAGAGATCAAGAAATGGATAATGATAATAGATCTTACCAACATCAAGAATTTGCCAAGAGCAAAGTGAAAAAAAGAAAACTAGCTACAACTAGGCAAGGACCAGAAATCTTGGATGAAGGAGTGGTTATAGAGAGTGAAGAAGCGAACCAGGCAAATAAGGACAAAATGGAGTATGAGGAGCAAAAGGGTTCAGATGAGAACATGAGTGACAGGTGATTGATTGTTTTTTCTTTTTCTATTGATTGAAACAAAATTCTTATATTACTACTGTAGTGGTGTAGGTATTGATATGTCTTGTTTTCTTTATTCCAAAATTAAAATGCAGTCAATAGCAGTATGTTTTAAGCAGTTAATGTTAGGGGTCTTTCCTGATCCAGAAATACTAGAATACTGCTACTTCAAACATGTTGTATAATGTTAAATTATAGCAATTCATTCAGAGGAAATCTGATGGGTGGCAGAGAAAGTTCAAAGGAAACAATTACTTGAAGAAAATTTATACTAATTGTTTCAATATTAAGACCAAGAAAACAGGGATTTAAAAATGACTTAAATGTTACATTATTGTATTATGCATGGTATTTGAACTAGCACTTAATCACACACAAGGTAATTAAATAGCTTAGATTTTCCAACTTATAGGCGCTGGTGTTTTGGTTGTTGCTGGTATTCATCAGAAGATTATCAGTACAGTATATGGATACACACGTTAGACAGTCTGTGTGTCATGGGCATAAAAAGTCTATAGGTTGCCAAGAATGCACATCACTTACAAAATGCAAAAACCAATTTATAGTTCAGAAACACCTGAGCTTGCCATTAGAAAAATGGGATAATGATGACCTTTTGGCAGTATGCCTCATCAGTCTATTCCAGACAGCAGGCATACCACAATAGTAATTGTTTCCAAAGTACTATTTTGACAACACAGTAAGGTGTCATTTTCCACCAAGTGATGTTACCTGCAGGGTCTGATGATCCTGATCATGTTTATCCAGTGTGTTTGGTTCTGAATGCAGAACTGTGAGCAGGGCAACTCCTATTTAAGACATACATTCTGGCAATCTAGAGGCTAGACAGCAACAGTGTTCCTCATTTGTTGTAGGAGTCTTATCTATAAACTGCATTGACTCTTTTGCTTGTTGGCCATAGTTTAGGTGTGCTGTAGCGATGGCATGCATAGGTTCTAGGCTAGGGCAAGAAGAGAGGTCACTTATTTAGTAGCATAACAGTATTGGTAAGTTACTGATTCCAATTATTCAGAAAACAATAAGGGGGATAGTATTTATAGAAGTTGCTTTTTATACTCTTTCCATCTGTTTTCTGAGAACTGTAGACAGTTTTTAAATCACAACAGGAATCCTGAGTCACCTTGCCACTGAAAAGAAACTGAATTTCATAGTGTCTTCATACTTGTATTGGACCAGAAGTAGGTCTTGTTGGGGCCTTTGTGTCTGGAACGCTTTCAGATTCCATCATGTTTGTCCTGTACTCATACATTTTTTTGTTACATTTTAACACTTTTTAAAATGTCTTGTGCCAGAGGAGGGTAAAAATACTTCAGTACAAAACTCATGTATCCAGTGTTTGGGTGGAGGGAACCAAGGTCAGGGGAAAATCCTCCAAACACCCAAAAAAGGGCAGCTTGCTGATTTCAAGTACAAAAATGACTATCCCTTATGGATTCCACTTGTCATCTATTCTTGTGCTTCAGGGGGACACTATCAGTTTAAAAAACATGCTCCTTTCTGGAAATACTTTACTTAATAATACTGTAACAGCTAAGGTCCTTATAGTTTCAGAGAAAACTTTCTCTGTTTGCAGTTTGTTTATGTTGTCATTTGTCAGCAATTTACAGTCAATTTTGCTATTTTCACCTGTTTGTGTGTCTTTAACACAGCAACAGGGGGTAGGGAAACTTTTTTTTCTTTAAAAAAAAAAAAATGAAAATGTGACTGCAAAACCACAAAATCTGACAAGGAGATTCAGAGGCATATGGAGTACTCAAACTACTTGTAACTCTAATTTTCAGTTGGCTAGACTTCAGCTTGATGGTGCCCATTAAATGCATTGTACTACTATATGATTCTATCACTTTATCCCACAAGAGGAACAAGAAACATATTAGCAAGCCTCTGTGCTACTATTGTGTTCTGAAAGCATTGGCAGACATAAAAATGTCTTTCTAAAACTGTGTGCTAGGCACAAAGAGGTAAATTACTGAAAACATCTTAGTAAGATTCATGGCTTCAGTAATACCGCTGAGTCACATTTGAACTCTAGAATCCAGAGTTATGAAGTCTGCCATGCCAATTTTAATTTGTCCACATATGAAGGCTTTGTTTTCTGGATGATTTTCCTGTGTGTATATTTCAATGGGGGACACATCTTCCACATTTACAATTCTCCCAGCAGCAGTCCCTGTGCCTATAGTATGATGCCCCAACAGAGGCAGGGGCTTCATTGTGTTATGCTAAAAATCTACGTCTATTGAGCGTGCTCTGCAGAAGTTTTCAAATGCTTAAAGCTTTTATTGTATGGCACCACTCTATATAAATTGATCAAGAGCAAATGCCTCAGTGAAGATTACTTAAGTACCAAAGTTCAAATTGCAAACTTAAAGGGAAGAGATGAGTATGGTTCTCTTAAGGTTTGACTGTAAGAACAGTTTGGTTCATGGCAATATGGGGTATAAATTTACTTTGCAGTAAATATCTGTATAGACCCTGCTGATGATCTTTAAAATCGTCAATCACAGCTTGAATCTTGAAATACTATAAAGCAAATCTTAGTTTCTTCTTTCTGCAAAGTATCCCATCCTCACTTTAATTCCACCATAGACAGTTTTGTATATTTCGCAATTCTAAATGTCCCACAACTTTACATCACATTTCTTTTTTAGAATTAACCATTTGGTTGAAGCTTTCCACCTATCTAAAAGTATTTCCTTAATGCACTTTAATCCATTCCCATTTCAAAGTGGGTGGATCAAAGCTGTCTATGGATGGAACGTTTAGTGTGTGGCAGCACAATCTACATGGATGCTTAGTGGGCTGCAGGATAGTACGGGATAGACTTACACCTCAGCTTGCCATGAACTCAGTAAGTGTTTGTATACGCAAGCCCTTATAAAATGGGAACTTGTGTGTGTGTGGTGGGGAAAAAGAAAGTTATTTTTTTTTTTGTTTTGGTGGGTTCTTTACGTTTAACCC